TTGAGCTTGGCTCGTGAGGCCCCACGGCCACAAGCCCTCACCACCTCCGAGGCGTTGGCAGCAGGGACAGCATCCGCTGCTCTCAGGCTTTGCCTGCCCTCCCTCCAGCTGTCAGCCTCGTGGGCCTGGTGGTGGAAACTGAGGTGGAGTCTGTCCCCATCCCAGAACACTGTGCTCTGGAAGTCCGCGTTCCACCCTAAGCGTGTCCATCAGGAGCGCATGTGCCTGTGTCCTCCAGGAGCTGCAAGCTAAAATGTTCTGAGCCTGCTCTTCCTGATAGTGCCAGACTCCCATGTGCCCGGCGCTAGTGCATGGATAAGTAAGGTGTCATCCTCACATGCAGGACCACTGTGCACCTATAAGAAAGAGCGACTCATAACCACGCTCTGCAGCACAGATGATGCGCAAACTTAATGTAGAGCAGCCAAAGCCAGACACGAAAGAGCCATAAGATCTGTGTATGGAAAGGACAAAAGTAGGGACAACCAGCTGATGCTGGCCGAGTCAGAAGAGGCCACGCTGGGAAAGGGACTTCTGTGCCTCTTTTTTGAGCTGGGTACCTGGGAGTTGTTGGTTTGTGAAACTGAACCAGCTGTGTGCTCCAGACGTGTGCACTATTCTGTTCGGTGTTAGCCGGCTGGTTCTGCAGAGGTCTGCATGGTCGGTGTGTTAGACTGTCAAAACTAGACGTCTCAGTCACTGCTGCCTAGCCCTGCCCTTGTAGGAACACAGCAGGATGTGTTCATGAGTCCTTCCCAAACAGATGGTGAGCGGGAGGGACCCGAGCCACCATGAGCCAACCCTGTTGTATGTGTTTGTGACACGACCATAAGAAGTTTTTTAAAGATAATAAATAAACCTTACCTCTCAAGAAAATCCCACAAAACATTACAGTTTGAGATGGTGCCTTGGGATCAAGAAGGGCCTTCATTGGGCTGGATTCTAATAGCATTTCCTCTAAGGCAGGGGTCCCCAACCCCAGGCCATGGACTAGTCCTGGAGGTACAACCATATACTTACCAGGGTGACAATAAATGCATCGCTCTTGAATCATTCTCAAAACCATTCCCCACCCCTCCCAGTCCATGGAAAAATTGTCTTCCCCCGAACCAGGCCCTGGTGCCAAAAAGTTTGGAGACCTCTGTTCTAAGGCACAGCTCCATCTACTCTCTACTTGGATTCTTTTATTTATTTTTAAAAATTTATGTATTTATTCAGAAAGAGAGAGAGAGAGACCCTCATTGGGTCTTTACCCTGTGACCCAAACCCAGCCTTCAGCGGCTGGAGCCCAGGCACATGCGTGCACCTGTTGTTTACAGGGAGGCCCCGGGACACCAGCCTGGGTCCTCCCATGTGTCCAGTTGCGTTACTACCGTGCTACTCTTTGGGCCCTCTGCTTGGGTTCTTACACTCCAGCAAGAGGCAGGCAGGCTGGCAGGCTGAGCCATTCCTCCCTAAGGAATCTGAGGCTCAGAGCGGTGGACACCTGCCGCAGGGCCTGCCCCTGGGAGGAGGCCGGAGCCTGCCCTTTCTCCTTCTCCTGCTCCACCCTGCCCCAGCCCGGCTCTAGACTCCCTCCTTCCTCAATAGGTCCCTTATTTTCCAGCTCGCATGGTCTGCCTGTGGTCAGCCACACATTTAAAGAACTTCCCTATTTATCTTTCCTTTCTCAGCTATTCTGGGGCCTTGGCCTCTCCGGCAGCCCCTCAATGATCCGTTGTGTTCGTCTGGCTTCCGCTGCATGCGGGTTTGCTGGTGTGGAGGGCTCTGAAGCTAGGTATTTTTAGTCCTTCCATCACTCTTCCCTTCCTCCTTGTGGAGTTTCCTCCCTGTGGCCAAGTGCTCTATTTTATTCTCAGCCCTCCACTCCCACCCTGATCCGGGCTGGCAGCACCTGCTTGAAACACCTGGCGTCTTCCTCTACCAGCTTCTTTCCTGGGCCCTGACTTTGGAGTCTTGGAGCCCAAAGGGTCCTATCGAGAACATCAAGCTCAGCCTACCCATTTTGCAGGGGACACTAAATCCCAGGAGAAGATGCCATGCAGCTTGTCAGTAGGGGATGTGGCCTGGAAAGCTGGCCTCACACATCCTAGGACCTTTCATGTATCTATTAGACAAAGAACCACCCTACATGGAGTCACGTATGCCCCCCCACCTATCTTTTAGCTAAGGAAAGATGAGCTTCACACGCCGTTCTCTGGACCAGCTCCAGGGTCCTCCTTGAGAAATAATAGTAAGTAGCATTTACCGAGTATTTACTGGATGTTAGAGGCTGTGCTCACTTATTCTTTATGACAACTCTTTTTCTTTTGTGATTATTTATATAGCTCATCTCTTCTGCATTACAGCCCCAGGAAATCAAGAAACTATTGCTGCTCTCATTTTACAGATGAGCAAACTGAGGTCCAGAGAATAGGAAGCATGTCTAGGGTTAGTAGCACCTGCAGTGGGTAGAAGCCAGCTTTGGGCTCAAGCAGCCTGGCCCCAGAGCCTGCCTTCTAAAATGGATTCTCAGCGACATCCTTGGAGACACTGAGCTTTCTCGGGGTTCTGAAAACATGATTTCAGTTCAAAGAGTTTTCCCTCCACCTTTGGGGTATTTCTCTTGCCCTAATCAACTCCTGCATTAGGAGTTAGGCACGTGGTCCCATCAACGTAGAGGGGGCATTATGAGATTTGGAAGGGCAGGATGCTTCTCAGTGGTGGAAAGCTGGGAGGGTCACACTTACTGGAGGACCAGACATGGCCCTGTAGTGACAGGGGTGGGCCTGGCTGGCATGGGAGGCTGTTGGGGCTGAGGTGGAAAAGGAAAGTTGGGAGCGACCAGCATGGGTCCGTGCAGCAGAGGAGCTGCAGGGGCAGAGTCTCTTCTGGAACTAGACCCCTAGTGGCCTTGACTTCTTAATCTCTTTGCTCCCAGGTGTCCAGCACTAAAGGTGGGGGTGGGGAAAACAGGGGACTTGGGTCTGGATGGGGCACAGTGGGGGAGGTTGCTGTCTGAGCTGGCCTGTTGGCCATGGGAGAGGTTGAAAGCCTTGGAATCCTGGAATCCAGCGTGGCAGAGGCCCCAGGACTCAACTCATCAGCAGGTCACTTTCCTGCTCCTCAGATAGGGGGAAAAGTAGGAGGGCAGGACAGGCCACTCCTCTTCACACCCGTCACCCATTTTTGGTTGATTCTGATACCCTCTACCCTCACACCCTCTATTGAGGCCAAGGCTGCGAGCGTCTCATTCAGGACCTGTTCAACTCTGTGGCCTGGGCATCTGCTGAGGCCTTTCAGAACCTACCAGTGCAAGAGGTGAGGGCAGAGGGGAGAGGGGAGATGGCTAATGTCATTTGCGTCCCTAAGTTTAGCAAAGAGGAAGCCAGAAACCTTTCCACAGGATCGCCTGGCAGCGTGACCTGGGGATAGAGGATCCCATCAGAGCCTCTTTGAGTGTTCAGGAACAGAAGTGGGGATAGGGACTGAAGGACTACAGGCAGCTCATCTGGACAGAGAGGGACCTTGTGCTCTGCCACAGCTAGGACTTGGGGTTCAGTGAATGAATCCTGCTTCTCCCCTTCCCATCTCTTCAGAGAGATGGGATTGCAGGTTCCTCTCTAGACCAGAGGAATGTGTGTACGAGGTCCATGCCGTTGCCAATGTTGGACAGTTCCCAGTGTGGATAGGGTAACATGCATCCTGTGTGATTCCAGTCCCAGACTTTAGATAGATGAGGTGGTCATCGAGACTCAGGTGCTGGGTTATCTGTTGCTGTGTAACAAGCACCCCTCTAGCTTGAAGACTTAAAGCAACACTATTTCCCAGTCTGTGCTCAGGAATCTGTGGCTTCCTGGGTCCTCTGGCTCTGGGTCTCTCACTGGTTGGAGTCAAGATGCTAGCCAGGGCTTGTCTCCAGGCTCAGCTGGGGAGAAGCTGCTTCTGAGCTTCCTCACGTGATTGATAGCAGGACTCTGTCCTTCCCGAGTGCTGGAATTAGGGCCTCAGTTCATTGCTGGTTGGTCACCAGAGCCTTGCCACCTGGATCTCTCCATGGAGCAGCTTTCAGCACAGCATCTAGCAAGAGAGAAAGATGTGCTCGGGACGAAAGCTGTTATCTTTGGAGACCATGTCTCCAACATGACATCCACCAGCTTACTGTATTCGGTTCCTAAAAAGCAAGTCCCTGGGGGCCAGCAGATGGCATGGAGGTTAAGGTGGCTGGATCCCTCATGGCTGACTGCATGGTTCAAGTTCTGCACTCGGCAACTTGAAAAAAGGTCCAGTCGCCTGTGCGTGTGTGTCCAAATCCCAAGAGGGGAATGAAGGGGAAGAGATTGTGGTGTGGCCACAGCCCCCTGGGGGTTCTTTCTCACTTTCCCTCTCTCTCCTGTCTCTGTCTATCTTCAGCATGTGCACATGCCCTACAGCAAAAGTTTTTAAATTTTTTAAAAGAAGGAAATCGCTCAGTCCAGCCTGTTCTCACAGGGTGGGGGTCGCATGGGTGTGAACACCAGGAGGTATGGGGATCGTTGGATGCCATCTCCAAAGCTGCTTACCACAGGCCCTCCTGGCTGTGGGACATGGGGCAGGTCCTTTTGGTCCTCAGTTTGTTCGTG